ACACATAGGAACAAAGATCCAGGTGGTGAGGTCAGGTCGATTACAGGACAAAATAGACTGTATTAAATGGAAGGAAAAGTTAATGGAAAATAAGGTAAAGTCAAAGAAAAATAATTATTCACAGCATACTTAGAAAATGAAAATCCAAGAAGAACATGAAAACATTAAAACTATGAGGAAACTGACAAGAAAGAAAACAAATAACATGAACTCAGCACAGGATGATATACAGAACAAAGAAACCAGCAGCACCACAAAAATCCAAACATAATGGCAGCAATTAATCCATATTTATTGATAATTACACTGAATGTAAATGGATTAAATGCACCAGTTAAGAGACAGAGGGTGGCAGAATGGATAAGAAAACAAGATCCTTCAATATACTGTCTGCAAGAGACACACCTTACACACAGAGACAAAAACAGACTAAAATTCAAATGATGGAAAAAATATACCAAGCTAATTGTAATAAAAACAAAACAAAACACACACAAAAAAACTAGCAGGACTAGCAATACTAATCTCTGATAAAATAAACTTTAAGGAAGAAACCAGCATAAGAGATAAATATGGACATTATCTCAGGATTAAAGGGACAATTGAACAAGATGACATAACCATAGTAAAAATCTATGTTTCAATGAAAGAGCTCCAAAATATATAAAGAAAACTCTAATAGATTTGAACAAAGAAAGAGACGAATCTACAATAACAGGGGGCAATTTTAATACACCACTTTCAAAAATGGATAGAACAAACAGGAAGAAACTCGACAAAGACACAGAGGAACAAAACAACACAATCAGCCAACTAGATTTCATAGATGTGTACAGAGCATTCAACCTAACAACAGCACAATACACATTCTTTTCCAGTGGGCACAGAAATTTTTCCAGTATAGATCATGTATTAGGTCACAAAAGAAGCCTCCATAAATTTACAAACATCAAAATACTACAAAACTTCTCAGATCACAATGCCATCAAATTAAAAATCAACAATAGGAAGACCAATGAAATAAAGTTTAATACATGGAAACTGAATAACACCCTGTTGAAAAGCAACTGAGTAGTAGAAGAAATAAAAACGCTAATTCACAAAGTTCCTATAAACAAATGAGGATGAAAACACAGCATACCAAAATCTTTGGGACATGGTGAAAGCGGTGCTGAGGGGACAATTTATTACAATCAATGCACACATCCAAAAAGAAGAAAGAACCAAAATTAACACATTAACACAGCATCACCAACAATTAGAAACAGACCAACAGAGGGAACCTACAGTCACCAAAAGAAAAGCTATAATAAAGATTAGAGCAGAAATAAATTATAGAAAACAGAAAAACTATAGAAAAAATCAACAGGACAAGGAGCTGGTTGTTTGAAAGGATTAACAAAATTGATAAACCTTTGGCAAACCTAACAAAAGAAAAGAGGGAGAAGACAAAAATAACATGCGTTCAAAACCACATGGGCAATGTCACAATGGAACCAAAGGAAACCAAAAGAATAACAACAGAATAATATGAAGAGTTGTACTCCAACAAACTAGAAAGCTTCTACATTTTTAGAAAAAACATGACCTACCTAAACTCACACAGAGTGAAGTAGAGAACCTGAACAGACCCATAATAAAAGAAGAAATTGATCAGGTCATCAAAAAATTCCCAACCCAAAAAAATTCTAGGTCCAGATGGATTTACTGGTGAGTTCTACCAAACATTCAGGAAAGAGCTGTCACCAATTCTACTCAGATTATTACAGAATATAGAAGGCGATGGAAAACTTCCTAACACATTTTATGAAGCAAGCATAACCCTCATATCAAAACCAGGGAAGGACGTCACTAAGAAAGACTGTTATAGACCAATATCCTTCATGAACATAGATGCAAAAATGCTCAACAAATTTCTAGCCAACAGAATCCAGTACCACATCAAAAAAATAATACATCATGATCAAGTGTGATTCATATCTGGGATGCAAGAATGGTTCAACATTAGAAAAATAATCAGTGCAATTCACCATATAAATAAGAAAAAAGAAAAGAACCGCATGACCACATTATCATAATGATTGATGCAGAAAAGGTAGTTGACAACATCCAACATCCATTCTGATAAAAACACTCAACAAAGTAGGAATTGAAGGGAAAGTCCTCTACATAATTAAGAGCATATATACAAAACCAACAGCCTATATTACTCTCAATTGTAGAGAAACTAAAAGATTTCCCTCTGCAAACAGGAGCCAGACAAGGATGCTCTTTGTCACCACTCCTATTCAGTATTGTACTGGAAGTATTAGCCAGAGCTATATGGCAAGATAAGGAAATTAAATACATCCACATTGGCAAAGAGAAAATAAAACCCTCTCTATTTGCAGACAATATGATCCTATATATAGAAAATCCCAAAGACTCAGAAAAAGCCACTAGACCTCATTGGAAAATTCACCAAAGTGGCAAGCATACAAAAATCAGTTGGATTTCTCTATAGTAACAATGACAGTGCTGAAAAGGACATTAGGAAAGCAATACCATTTACAATGGCCTCCCAAAGGATGAAATATCTAGGAATAAATGTAACCAGAAAAACAAAGGACCTATACAAAGAAAACTACAAAACACTACTATAAGAAAGCAAGAAACCTACAAAAATGGAAGCATATACCATGCTACTGGATAGGAAGTCTTAACATTGTGAAAATGTCAATACTGCCCAAAGCAATTTACATATACAATGCAATCCCAATCCAGATTCCAATGACATTCTTCAAAAAGATGGAAAAAACAATTACAAACTTTATATGGAAAGGAAAGAGACCCAGGATAAGCAGAGCACTGCTTAAGAAGAAGAATAAGGTTTGAAACCTCTCACTCCCTGGTTTCAAAATTTATTACATGGCTACAGTGGTCAAAACAGCTTGGTACTGGTACAATGAAAAATATATCGATCAATGCAACGGAATAAAAAATCCAGAAATTAACCCATCCACATACAGCCAACTGAGTTTCAACAAAATGCCTAAGTATATTGCTTGGGAAGGAAATAGTCTCTTCAACAAATGGTGCTGGCAGAATTGGAAAGCAATATGCAAAATATTGAAACAAGACCTTTACCTCATGCCTTATACAAAAACCAACTCAGCATGGATTAAAGACCTAAATGTGAATCCCAGAATTATAAAGGCCATCAATGAAAACATAGGGACAAATGTGAGGGCTCTAATACTGGACACACACACACTATAAAACATTTTGAAAATTACACATACAAAACTAGACAAAATAGATGATTGGGACATAACAAAAATTAAAAACTTATGTGCATTAAAAGACTTCACCAAAAGAGTAAAAAGGGAACCCACAGAATGGGATAAAATCTTTTGCAATTACGCATAGGACAAGGGACTACTTTCTAATATATAGGAAACTACAACACCTCTACAATAAAAAAGACAAATAACCCAATTAAAAAATGGGCACAGGACATGAACAGACACTTCACCAAGGAGGAGATCTGGGCAGCCAACAAACATATGAAGAAATGTTCAGGATCATTAGCTATTAGAGATATGCAAATCAAAACAACAATAAGATACCATCTTAAACCAGCAATAATAGCAAAGATTAAAAAAGTAGAGGAACTTAAATGCTGGCGAAGATGCAGAGAGACTGGGACACGTCTACACTACTGTTAGGATTGCAAAATGGTCCAACCACTCTGGAAAGCACTTCCTCAGAAGGTTGGAAATAGAAATACCTTTTGATCCAGCAACTCCTTTACTTGGTATTTACCCACAAGAAACACGATCCATAAAACAAGTAGACATATGCACAGCAATGTTCATAGCAGCACTATTTATGATAACAAAAAGATGGAGACAGTCTATGTGCCCATCAATGGAAGAATGGATAAAACTAAAACAGATATTTACATTTTTACATATTGAGCAACTTAGAAATTATTATTATTATTCTATTATACTCAGTAAAGATTAAATAGAATTTAGTTATTTATAGATGACTTAGTTCTGATTATCTATGGTAGCTTCCATCTGAGAAGTCGAAGAATATCATTAAATCTGTAATTAACAGATGTCCTGATGTGATACTGTAGGGTAAGTATTGGACTGCTAACAGCAAGATTGATGATTCATACCCACCAGCTGTTCCTTGGAAACCCTATTGTTGTTGTTATGTGCCATGGAGTCTGTTCTGACTCATAGAGACCCTGTACAGGGTTTCTGAGGATGTAAACCTTTACCAGTGCAGAAAGCCTCATCTTTCTCCTGCGGAACAGCTGGTAGTTTCGAACTGCCGACCTTGAGGTTCACAGCCTGATTCATAACTACTATGCTACCAGATCTCCTTGGAAAGGGTTGCTAATAGTTGGAACTGATTCTACGGCTCTTAACAAAATCAACTATGCCTCCCATGTCTAAGAAAAAAATCCTGATGAAGTTTCCCTTTGTTCACTTGAGTTGTGTGTATTAGGGTAAGGTGTTGTTGTTGTTAAGTGCCTTCTAGTTGATTGCAACTTATAGCAACCCTAGGAATGCCTGGTGAGTTTGAACCACCAATCTTGCAGTTAAAAGTGCAATGCCTGTGTGAGATAGTCTTCAAACAGAAACACTAACTAGAATGTCTTTCTCGTAGCTGGAGTCCTAATGTGGTGCTGTAGGATAAGCAATGGACTGCTAACCACAAGGTTGCTGGTTCAAACCCACCAGCTATTCCTTGGCAAGCCTATACAGGGTCTCTATGAGTTAGAACCAACTCAAAAGTACTTAACTTCAATAATAAAGCAAGACATATCTAGAATCATTTTGATAAAACAAGAATACTTCTCCTTCCAACAGACCGCTATGTTTTTGGAATGAATCTGTAGAGAATATATTCTCCTCTTTCTAAAACAGCAATTGGTAGATGGTCTCATCACAGAAACACTTAACTATGAGTCCTTTATGAAGATACTCCCTTCCTCCACTTTCATGAATTATGGGAAGTGGGAGGTAAGAGAGAGCTTCAGAAACCTTTTTGTGAGATGGTTCATTAAATGTAGTATGGGTACACATAAACCTAAACATATATCCAAATATATACTTATTTATAGAGGTTGATATTCTGAATACTCTGAAGTCTGCCATTTATGAGAAGGCATTTGATTATTCATAGACTGGTTATAAAATACGTACTTATTTTCCAGGAAATGTACGTAGAAAAACACATGTCCCTGGTATTAAACAAAATCCTATCTGTGAAGAATATTTGATTTATTACTGAAAACAAATGTGTGCCTATAAAAATACAACCCTTGTTTAGGTTCCAAAACTGGTCAGAGACTGACTTGAATATAGTCTGACAAGGGGCACTGTGTGTCCACTACTCTCAGCTATATTATTATTCATCTTTGGCAAATTTGCATATTAATAATACATTTTTTACACATCAACTTTTGTTTTCCTATTTATCTCAAGTTATTCAATACTACATTTTTAATATAAGTGGAACTGTATGTTAAAAATAATTAGATTGAGACTCCTTTTTGCCTTCCTATTGCTTACAACCAGTGGTTTAGGAGAAGAATGAATACTCAATTTTGGCTTTCCTCTGAAATACTTGTCATCATTTTCTTGCCACAATATGATCTTTGGTTTAGGTGAATGAGGTGCATTAAAGTTGTCTAGACTGATCAAAAGCATAATATTTGAATATCCAGAGATTTTTCCATCTTCACAAATGCCATACAATTTTCTTTTTAAATAAAAAACTCCTTTTGTTATTAGATATAAAATATAAAAAGAATATAAATTATTAACTAGGGTATTGATGATATAAAATCATTGTTTTTTCAACAAAGTAAAACAGAAATTTTATCATATATTTTTCTTATGATTCCTCAGCATCTCTAGTCTTAGAAATACCATGAAACTTGATAATAGCCTTTATAAATGCATGAGGGGATTTCCAAAAGTTAGTGGAATTAACTTTTAATTCCATGAACTTTTTGAAGCTCCTTTATATTTTATAAAACAGCTCAGTATAGAATATGATCTCATCACAAATACAAAAAATAGAATTTTCTTAAGATAGTGTTGTATAATAAAGATTCCAGATGTTCATGCAACACGCATAGAAACAGATCTATCTATAGCTTTACAGATCAGATTTAATAAAAAGGGGGAAATGTCTGAATAAAGCCATAGAAAGCCAGTAAAGGACACCTTAAAGGGTGTTTGGTACAAATCAGAATCATAGCCTAGCCGCAAGCAAAGCAGTAATCAGATTACAATAGAAAGAGCAAAGGTCTTTTAAATGTTTTTACACTATCAACCCTACCTGCCTTCCCTGTAATTGAAACCCCAAAACTAGACACCAAATGTCTGTGAGAAACAGTAATATTAATGAGACAATAAATCCTTCTGGAAGAAACAAACTTTGAGAAGACATCTCTGATTCAGGTGTTTGATAACTACGTAGGAGTCGTCTGTACAGTGAAAAGCCATTTTCATTCATAATTTCAATCATATAAATTTTGATTCTTCAGGTGCATTTTTAGGTTTTTATTACATGGATAAATAGTGTATTAGTCAAGTATGTTTTTAGCTGTAGTAATGAAAAACTAGAATAAAAGGGTGTTAAATAATTAGAGAATTCTCTGAATGGTACAAATAGTTAAGCACTCAGAGGTGCCTCAGAAGAAAAGTCTTACAATAAAAGATCATAGCCATTGAATACTCTGTGAAGCAGTAACAGATAAGGGCATCATGATTTGGAATTCATTCAATGGTTTACTTTAACCTTAATGGACATTTTTGTTTTTGAATATTTTAAACTTAAAAACATTAGGAAACGGAGCCTCACGAGGGGAAGAGGAAAGTGGAGTCTCTGTGGCCCATCTTCAGGATCCACCACCAGAAGACCCGCTACATCTTTGACCTCTTTTACAAACGGAAAGCCATAAGCAGAGAGTTGTATGAGTACTGTATCAGAGAAGGCTATGCTGACAAAAACCTGATCGCAAAGTGGAAGAAGCAGGGCTACGAGAACCTGTGCTGCCTACGCTGCATCCAGACCCGGGACACCAACTTCGGCACCAACTGCATCTGCCGAGTTCCCAAGAGCAAGCTGGAAGTGGGCCGTATCATTGAGTGCACGCACTGCGGCTGCCGGGCTTGCTCCGGTTGAGGCCTTCCAGCCTGACCCCTGTGCACCCTGGACTTTGCCGGCTCTGTCTTCATGCCACCTACCACTCTTCTCTGCCCAGCATGACAACTGACTATGGGTTCCTCGGGGCAGGCTTCAATATTCATCAGTTATGATTTGTAAAAAATAAAACTTCACAGTCTCTCAAAAAAAAAAAAAAAAAATTAATGATATTACCTAAAAATTTCCACATTTTTTAAGTTATCCTTTCTTTGAAATGGGTATAAATATGCATCTCTTCCAGTCAGCTGGCCAGGTAGCTGTCTTAGAAATTTCTTGGCATAGACTCGTGAGTGCTTCCAAAGCTGATTCAGTTTGTTGAATCATTTAAATTGGTAGGATTCTATAAATATCCAACCATTAAAACACTACAAAGCATAGAGTTTAGTGATTACTTGATTTTATTTTTACACAGTTTGGGGTTTGGAGAGTAAATGTTTTGAAGTATATGTATACATAAAAGTACGAAGATCATTGTCCTATAACTCAGTGGATTTTCCCCCAAACAAATATATCTGTGCAAGAAGCATGTTTATCCAGAAAGTGAATATCTGCACATTCCAGAAGTCTTTCTGACACCCCCTTTCACAGGATCCTCAAATGACCTTTAATACCTTAGACTAATTTTGCTACTTTGAATTTTATATCTACTATATACCTTTCTTTAATTTATTTTTTTCACTCCACATTGTTTGTGAAACTTATTCATGCATTACATTCATAGCATTTTATTCATTTGCATTTTTGTTTAGTACTAAGCATGATTTGAAGGAATAGCATATCTTAAGTAGATACACTATGCTAAAATTCTTAAAGAAGTAAAGCATTACTTTGAGCAGTACTGTCTCCCTCAATGGCACGGCATTTAAAATTGCTCAGATGTGAACTGATAGATTGGTGATACAATTCGCCAGCCATTCTGTGGGAGAAAAATGTGATAGTCTGCATCTGTAAAGATTATAACTTCGGCAGGAAACCCTGCTCTTATGGGGTAGTTCTGCTCTGTCCTATAGAGTTACTGCTATTAGTAAGAATTGTTATGACAGCAGTAGGCCTGTTTGGTTTTGGTTTGGCTGAATCCCAGTGGTCTAATAAAACATTTAATTTGAGATCAAAGGAGGTGAAGGAAAATTATTAAAGAAGCTTTCTTTATCTCTTCCACCAAGTATAGAAAAAGTCCTACATACTCCTTAGCTCATACAGCAAACACCTATTGTCAGGTTATGGGCAATACTAATTTAGCATACTTTGTTGGCTAATCTAAAAACATTATTGCCCTGCTATAGTTTTCGCTATAAGGACTGAAAAGATCAGATCTTGGAAGACGTACAAACATGTTCCTTAGAAACTAGGATGGAAAGATGTCATTTCATGTGCTTTGGAGATATTATAAGGAGGGACTAGTCCCTAGAGAAGGGCAGTATGCTTGAAAAAGTGGAGGGTCAATGAAAAAGAGGAACACCCCAACCAGATAGATTGACACAGTGGCAGCAGCAATGGACTCAACCATAAATACAATTGTGAGGGTGGCACAGGACCTGGCAGTGTTTCGTTCTGTTGTACATGGGGTCTCTATGAGTCGGAACTGACTCGATGGCACCTAATAACATCAAGCTTCATCCTTTGTCAGTGTCAGATGAAAGCTGATTTCTCTCAGTGTCAGATGAATTATATCTCAATTCAACTCAATTCAAGTCAAGATGAATGATTTGGGAAAGAACAATAATAATAATAATAAAATACACACATATACATACTTTCATATGTATGGTGTAGTGATGTAGGATTAGCACTGGACCATAAGGTCAATTTAAGTGGCAAGGTTGGTAGTTCAAACACACCAGTCACTCTTCAGAAACCCTATATAGGATCACTATGAATCAGCACCGATTCGACATCACATACCAACAACAATAACTTAAGAATTATTAAAGCTATGTTCTAAATATTATTAACTCCCACAGAGTAGTCACAGGAAACTGGGTCCCAGTAAGCTGTATATATATATATATATAATATTCATGTATCTAGCTATATGTAATATATATATATAAACTCTAGCTCCAGTAGGGCTATAAGAATATTTTCCTATGTAAATTACTATACATAATATTAGTATTATCCATAGAAGGAATAATGGTTTCTGCCAAGTTGACTTAAATATGAACACTGTCACTATTATATTGCATAGTGAAAACACTGCTACTTAAATTTTTTGCTGAAAATCATACCTGAACTATTTAAATAACTTATACAAAAAGAGGCTAAAATCTGCAAGGCCCATCTGGTGGCAAAGTAAAAGTCCATTTGCTGCCTTGTAATGCAAAAATAGTGATTAACCTAATTTTTAAGATAAATGTGCCTGTTTTTAAGTAAATATAAACTGGCAAAGAAATATTTTATAAGATATAGCAAAGAAGCAAATCTTCAAAAGAGCAGGCCTAGTTCAATGATTGCACAGAAACTTCTATGAATGTTACCTATTTATCTAGGGAAGGAAACTGAAAGCTACATTTTCAGTTTCAAAGGGTAGTACTAGGGATTCTGGAAATGAAGAAAATGCTGCACTGAGAAAATGTAGATAGTTAAAGAGTCTTTTGTAAAAGCAATGAGGAAGGAAATAAATTAGTGAGATGATGACTTTTTCCTACAAACTTTCTCAAATCACCACTTGTCAAAGCTCATGTTTCAATCACTTGGACATGGAGTTATTATTTCTCAGCATAGCCCTAAACACATGCTTGGTATCCACTAAACTGCATAATAAGAGCAATAATGCATCAGCATTTCTGACTTTGAAAAATGGCCATCTTATGCCTGAATGGTACACGTGAATGTGCTCCTGAGGAACATACACCTGAATGAATAGGCAGTTAAAAGACTTAAAATCAGGAAGATGTGTGCCAGGGCTATATTATTTCACCATGCTTATTTAATCTGTGTGCTGAGCAAATTATCTGAGAAACTGGATTATATGATGAAGAGTATGGCATCAGGATTGGAGAAAGACTCATTAACAATATGCAATATGCAGATAACACAACCTTGCTCGCTGAAAGTGAAGAAGACTTAAAATAACAATGAAGATCAAAGACAACAGCCTTTAGTATGGAGTGCACTTCAATGTAAAGAAAACGAAAATGCTAACAACTGGATAAATAAATATCATAATAAATGGAGAAAAAATTATAGTTTTCAAAGACTTCACTTTGCTTTGATCTACAATTTGCACTCATGGAAGCAACATCAAAAACCAAATGATGTATTACATTAGGCAAACCTACTGCACAAGACCTATTTAAAAAGTTCAAGAGCAAAGATGTCAGTTTGAGGACTAAGATACACTTGACTCAAGTCATGGTATTTTCAGTTGTCCCATATGCATGTGAAAGTTGGACAATGATTACGGAAAATTATAGAGGAATTGATGCATCTGTGTTATGGTGTTGGAGAAGAATCTTCAAAATACCCTGAACTGGATAGAACAAACAAGATGGTGGAGAGGGTGGAAGTGCAGAGCTCCATCAGTAACAACTCAGAATACCAGACCAAGCAGACTCAGGGGATGGTGCCAGAACTCTGAACCAAATGTAAAGGAATATTTAGAAGTTTGGAAGGCTTTCAGCTAGGGGACTTTGTAGCAGAGGCAAGAAATCCATTGCTTTCTAATTCAAGACAGTCAGTTGCTCCAGAGCTGCCATCTTGGGTGAGACCAAGTGAGGAAAGGATCAGAGCAGCCATGGATGACTGACAGAACCACAGAGATAAAGGTGTGGACATTATTGGTTTTTTGGTATCTGTTCATTGGTCTTTCACTGTCTGTGCACCTTCATTATGGTGACTAGAGGGAATGCCTGAGCAAGTGGACACCCTACCCCCACCCCAACCTGGAGGGTTCTACTACACATGTGCACAGATCTCCTCAAAATTTAGAGACAGTTTTCACTTAAAACCAAATGGCCACAACTGGCCCTGAGCTGTGTATAACTGAAAAAAAGAACTGAATGGGGATTGTGGAGTGGGACAGGGAGACTAAAAATGAAATAGGATGAAAATTAAATCCCGAGTTACATCACAACTACCAACAGTGGCATCTTGAAATTTCTCAGGAAGAACAGTGAAAAGGGAAGCTTATCTCCTGATCACATCTACCTGCAGGCAATTAGAATGCATAAAAAATACCAAAACACACACCCATCTAAGTATTAAGGCCACAGATAACTCCTGAATATGCCCAAGAAACAGAAACAAATGACCACATCAGCACATGTCCAGAAATGAGATAAAGTGACTGAGGCAAATGAGCTGGAAGTAGACCTACACTTCATACTGGAAGATGGGCAGGCTTTGGAAATGCCTGAGAAGGAATTCAGAAAAAGGATTATAAATGTATCAAAACACTATACAATGAAGTTGAGAAAAATAGGGAAGAAGTCAGGAAAGCACTACAGGAACAATCAAATACAATAGATACAGCATTGGAAATAATTCAAAACCTACAGAAAGAGGTCCAAATGATTAATAATAGAATATCATAGATGAACAATACACTGAAAGGGCAAAGGAGTAGAATTGAAGAGATAGAAGCCAGAACTAGAGACCTAGAAGATAAATCTCTCAACATTACTTAGATAGAAGAGCAAACACAAAAAAAGAGATACAAAAATCTGAAGAAGGTCTAAGATTCATGTTGAACAACATGAAGAGGAATAACTTAAGAATTATTGGCATTCTGAAACAGGAAGAATCACACAAGTCCACAGAGCAGATAGTTGAAGAGCTTCTGGAAGAAAATTTTCCTAACATCCTGAAAAGTGAAAAGATAAGCATTCAAGAAGCTCAACGAACCCCAAGAAGGATAGACCCTAAAAGACAATCACCAAGACATATAATAATCAAGCTCTCCAAAATCAAAGATAGGGACAGGATCTTAAAAGCTGCTAGGTAAAAGAGAAGTGTAACATACAAAGGTAAGCAAATCA